ACCCAGGTGCCCCCAGTCTTTGGTATTTTTGTTGTTGTTGTTTTTAAAGATTTTATTTATTTATTCACAACACAGACATAGGCAGAGGGAGAGGCAGGCTCCCCACGGGGAGCCCAATGTGGAACTCGATCCCAGGACCCCACGATCACACCCTGAGCAAAAGGCAGATGCTCAACCACTGAGCTACCCAGGTGCCCCCAGATTTGGTATTTTTGTTATGGAAGGCCAAGTGGACTAAGACAGCCTACAAGGTGCCCAGCACTGTGTTGAGTGCCAGAGATAGAGGAATCGCTGAAAGACACAGCTCTTGGACTCTGCGAGTCTGTATGGCAGGCCAGCCACCATCAGACAGGATGGAGGAATGAGGGGAACTCACAAAAGGGCTCTGAATGGAGGGGCCAGGGAGCAGAGAGAGATTCCACGCAGAAAACAGAAATGCAGGATGGTGGAGGGAGTGACCAGCCCATCCTGGGCAGCATGCCCAAACTCCTTGCAATGAAAGGACCTCCCCCACTGTGTATTAGCACCTCGTACAAAGTCACAGTGACCTTTGCGGTCCCCTTTTCTCAATCTTACTCTTTCTTCCACACATTAACAGCAATGTGTGAGTCAGTTATTCAGTGGCTTAAAAAAAAAATCAGATTCTGGGAAACCCACACAGGCTTGAATTCTGAAATTCTGTCTGGAGCCCTGAATGAGTGGCATCCATACTTTGCTGTGGATTTGTCCTCTCCATCTAGAACCCTTATAATAAGAGGTCATGGCTCATGGGAGTAATACATGTGCAGGTGGCACTGTGGTACACAGTCTTTATATGACTATCATTTAATACATGCAGATCCTCCTTAGGTTGGAACTACTGTTCTCCAGCTTTTAGAAGATGGAGGCCCAGAGAGGTTACTTAATTTACCCAAGGCCACCAAGGAGGGTGGTAGCAGGGCTGGGGCTTCATCCCAGATCTGGCCGACTCCAGCATCTTTCATTTAACCCTCTGAGCTCTGTTAGGAATTGCCTGACATTTCTGGAGGCAAGTCCCTTCCTTTCTACATTAGAAAAATAGCATGAAGGGGAAGTTACTTACCACCTGACACAGCCCGCTCACTACTCTAACACTCTCCATCTACACCTGCTACTCAGGAAATTAGAGCAAATCCTATTTTTAGACACTGTGGTTCAAGGGACAGTGATGTATTGGTTAGTGACTTGTTCTACGAACGCAGCTTGGAGGTGTTACCTGATGTTGTGCACTGAAATTCCCTTACATTACTGTTTTGGTCTTTGTAATTCATTTCAAAGATTACTTTGTCTCTTCGCTTTCCTCCATGAGTCCTGCCACAGACTTGGGCCCAAAATGGTTAGATTCTAGCTGAAATAGAAGGTGCAGAGAAAAGAAGAGGCTTTTTTCAGGAACCCGATACACAAATGATGGCCAGGCTAAAGGGTGAGCAGAGAAAGTCCTCGGCAGAAATTAGAGTTTGTCCAATGGTTGGGTCTAGAGGAAGGGGACTTGTCCCTTCCTGCCAAAATTGACTCTGTGTGTGTGTGTGTGTGTTAGACAAAAATCCTACATTTTTACTACTTACCTTTTATAGCTAATCATAATCCCTTGGTTTCAAAGGCCAGCAATGGGGCTAAAACAATGTTGGGAACGAGCCCTGACAACCCCAGGAATTAGGCAGAGGAAAAAGCAGAACCAGCTCCCCTCTACCCACATGGTGGCCCCAGGGAACAGTGAGGGGAAAGGTGCTTCTTTCAAGAAATGGTTTGTGTCAACTGGACATCATACGGGGGAGAACAAACCTGTCTCCAGAGGCCCCAGTTTTCACTGCTACAAAATGCCACGATGCTGTGTTCTCACGTGCTTGTATGATGATGCCTGCAACGATTCTGATGTTACGGTTGTGTGTTTACAGATTGTGCCACTCTCAAGGTGTTTTTCCAATCCATATTTTCCCCCAACAACCCTAGGAGTAATCAGGGAGGATGTTATTAGTCCTTTCATGGATGATGAGGTTGACTCTGAAGGGTGAGTGACCCACCCACAGCACTTGACAAGTGCTTGAATTTTAGTTGCCTGATTCCAAGCCTGGGGCTCTTCCCACTTGTCCACAAGCTCACTGCCTATTCCTGACCAGGTTTAGGGATGGGCGGGGAGAAGTGGGCTGCGGTGGAAGGGATGGGGGTAGATGGAAACCACTGGCACTGTCCTCAGACCCCCACCACCTTGCAGTGGGCTCCTTGGCCAAGTTAAGTATCAGCCCCTACATCTCTCCCAGGAGGACATTTGTCCCCCAGACAGAGCAAGAGGGTTCTGAGCTGGAGAGGGATGAGGAGGACTTAGGAAAGGTGCCAAGTCTACCATTTGCAATTGTGCTGGCAACTGGGTGGGCAGGGGCAAGACGAGCTGAGATCTAATCCAAGCTCACTCTGCCATGAGCTTGCCATGTACCCTTGGACAAAGGATTTCATCTCTCTGAGCCTCAGTTTCCTTGTCTCTAAATTCCTAATACCTACCACCCAAAGTTGTTAAGAATTCATGCACACCATGCCTGGCACTTAGCAAGAACTCAACTCAATTATTGGCAACCAGTATTAGGGTCATTCAGATCACTTCTCCTCACTGATAAAAAGCAACAGCTGCCATTAATTCAGCATTTACTTGTCTTTATCTCATGTAATCCTCACAACGACTGCAGAGGGTTGGTGTTCTTTATGCCGCATGTTATAGACGTGAAACAGAGGCTCAGAGAGGTGACAGCTGCTTGGGGCAGAGCCCAGATTTGAACCTAGATTGCCTGCACCTTTAAGATCTGGTACTGCCTTTGTCCCTCTGGGGCTGGCATGCTGGGAATGCCTTGTTCCTGATGGGTTTGGGCAGGCTGGAAAGTATGTGTGTGATATCAGTGGTCTCTGTATCCCAAGCAAAGGAATGATTTGGTTTTCTAAGAGGGAGACACAAAAACAGTGGGAGAAGGGAAAGCATCAGAGCAGGGTTTGTCCAATGATAACTGGGTGAGATGCACAGATGTGCAGCCTGGTTGGCTCTCCATTGGACCAGTGTGGTGACTGATCTGGGGTTGTTGGGGGTCTGGGGAGCTGGGGGTCCAGCCTTAGCAAGGGTGCCAGACCCTCCAAATCTCCTGATACAGAATGGTGTCCAGGAATGATTCCGTTTGTGCCAACTGCCTTTACATGTAGGTATAGAAAAAAGATTGGGGAAATTACATCAATTAATCATCATTACTTCTGGGTGATGGAAATAGAGTTGATTTGCTTTCCTTCATATGTTTCAGTATTTTCTGAAATACCTACGTTCGACAAGAGTTTTTTTTTTTTTAAGATTTTGTTTATTCAGGAGACACAGAGAAAGAGGCAGAGACATAGGCAAAGGGAGAGGCAGGCTCCCTGTGGGGAGCCCAATGTGGGACTCAATCCCAGGACCCCAGGATCAGGGGTGAACCAAAGGCAGACTCTCAACCACTGAGCCACTCGGTAAGGTGTCCCTTGGTAAGTCTTTTATAATTGGGAAAATAACGTGCTCTAAGTAAAGAAATGCAGATGTGAATTCATGTTGTTCATCCTAAAAAAAAGATCAGGCCACATTAGGGTTTCTTCTTCAGCCCCAAGCTTAACAGATACAGGTTTTGGAATCAGGTGGCCCAGGGTCTAGCTCCCATACTTTTTAGCTGTGCTAACACAGGTGAACTTCACCTCCTGGGGCCCTAAATCTCTCATCTGAAAAATTGAATTGGAACTAGCTGCCTTCTAGAGTTGTTTCCATGACTTAACGAGATGGTGTATTTGAAACTACACTGGAGGGATCCCTGGGTGTCGCAGCGGTTTGGCGCCTGCCTTTGGCCCAGGGCACCATCCTGGAGACCCGGGATCGAGTCCCACGTCGGGCTCCCGGTGCATGGAGCCTGCTTCTCCCTCTCCCTCTGCCTGTGTCTCTGCCTCTCTCTCTCTCTCTGATGACTATCATAAATAAATAAAAATCAAAAAAAAAAAAAAAAAGAAACTACACTGGATAGGTGCCTGGCATTTAGGAGACACCCTCTCTCAATGGGGGCTCTCATGAGAGCAGCTCCCTTCCCCGACGTTTGCTGGAGATCCTCTCAAGGTGGGCAATATCTATCGTCCCCACTTTACAGATGAGGATGCAGAAGTTCAAAGGGATGCTGAGATCCAAGGTCACCGAGCTCAGAAGGAATCTTCTGCAACAGGCTGCGAGAGCGGGTAAGTGACAAGCCCGAGGCTACACAGCTTAAACCTACTTCCTGTTAAAACGACAAACTCAACACCAACAAACCAAATTGCCCCCCAAAGGGGTTTGCTCTTTGCAAGGTAACGTGTGCTCAGTGTCTTGAACTCGGCAGCGGCAGCAGCGGCAGCAAATGCTCTGCCGTTTACTGGGTGCTTCCTCAGTGCCTGCGGCGTGGCACTTTGCAGAATCAGTTGGCTCCGTCAATTGTGCAAGCCACCCCCCTCCCCCGGACGCGGGTCTGCGAGCCCATTGTAGAGACGAGCAAAGCGAGGCCCGGGCGGCTGGCTGCGCGGGCGGCTGCGGGAGGGCCGGGTGGCACGCAAGGAGTTAAGCGGCGGCCGCGCTGTGGCTCCGCGCGAGGAGCGCGCCCGGTCGAGGCGCGCTGCTGGCGGCGGCGGCGGCGGCGGCGGCGGCGGCGGCGGCGGCGGCGGCGGCGGCGGCGGCGGCGGCGGCGGCGCGGGGAGCTCGGCCGGAGAGGGAGGTCGGGCGCGGAGCGAGGCGGCGCGCGGGAGGCGAGCGGGAGCGAGGCGCGGAGCCCGGCGCCCAGCGGCCGCCCGCGCCCGCGCCCCCGGGCCTCGACCTCCCCGGGCCGGGTGGCCGCGCGGGGCCTCGTCGCGGCGGCGGGGCCCCCGCAGTGCCGCCCGCCCGGGCGCCGGGCTCGCGGGAGCCGGGCTCCCCCTTGGCGCCGCCGCCCGCTCCCCGGCTCGCCGGCTGGCGTCGCCACCGCCTCCTCGGCCCGGCCGCCGCCGCGCGCTGCAGCCCGGGGCGCACACTCACTCTTGCACTTTGCCGCTGGCGGCGCGCGGGGCGCCCCCTGCACCAGCCCGGAGAGCGCGCCCCCCGGCCCGGCGGAGGCGGCTGGCGGCCAGAAGGGAAGCCCGGGCTCCGCGTCGCTGGGTGCCGCTGCAGCCCCGGCGGCCGGGGAGGCGCCCCCGGAGCCCCCGGAGCCCCCGGCGCCTGCTGGGCTCGGCGGGCGGAGTTGGCAAGTGGCCGCGGACCGCAGGTGAGCGCGGAGGCGCGGGGCCGGGCGAGGGCCGCCGGGGGGGGGGGGGGGCGCGGAGCCGCTGCCCGGCGATCGCTGCCCGACCCGGGCTCCCAGGTCCCGCCGCCTCCCCGCAGGCTGGGGGCTCGGCGCGCAGAGCCCGGTGAGGACGGAGCCCGGAGTGGGGACAGCCCAGCGCCGGGTGAATGACAAACTTTCTCTCCTCTGGCGCAGGATGGGATGTTGCGGCTCATCCAAGCGTCCTTCCTGCGGGCATCCCACTGGGTGCCCCCAGGCCGCCACTCAAGGCTCCTGAGGCTGAGCTGGGCCGGGGGCAAGGCGCTGGGCCCCTGTAATTCACGATTTCCCCTTGTTCCGCCAGGGCAGAGTTCCGGAGGAGAAGGGGCCGGTCATATTTTCGAGTTGGCTTTAGGAGGTGCTTGTTGCGGTGATCCTCGGGTGCATGCGTTGTCTGGAGGCAGCTCCCAGGGCTGCCCAGGGGACGGGCTTTGTGGGGAGCGCTTTGCAGGCTTGCTTCAGCCCATTCCCGCGTGTGTCTCTGCGTGTGTCAGGACGAGGAGAGATGACCGGAGCCGGGCCCCCACTCAGACTGCCTCTGGCCAAGCCCTTCCCACAGCCCCAAGTGTCATCACAGGAGCCGACTCACTTCTTTGGCGGAGACGGCAGCAGAGGTGGGGATCACCTCCCATCACCTGCAGCTCCTGAGATGAGCAAAAGATTTGGGGGAAGTTACCTGGGCCACTCGAGGAGATCATTCACTGGGGAGGCACAAACTTTGTGCAGAAAGAGGGGCTGGAGTGGACAGTTGGATAGAGGCTCTGGGCGTCTTGGTCTGTGGCTCAGGGTGTGGATAGTCCTCACCCATTCCAGGTCCCTAGAGGCTCTGCAGAGCCCAGCACATAGCGCATGAGTTTGACTGAATTCTTCTTCTTCCTAATGAAAAGCAGGCTCCAAAGAGCCACCTGGTCTCTGAGGAGCATTTTGGAGTCACCCCTGTGGCCACAGCCTCCTAGATAGCATCGTGCTGCCCCGGGGGGGGGGGGTTACAGCCTAGGGTTGGGGTCATCTGGATGGACTGCTTGGTCAGTAAGGCAGGCGGTGAAAGTGCTTCTGACTGTGACTTGAAGTTTGAAAATAGTGTGCTGGTCCTGCTGGGGCTGAGCATCTGCCCCTGGGGACTAGCATTGCTGTGTGGTCCTGGGCCAGTTCTTGGGGTGTGAGGGTAGGGCCATGCTAGGAGCTGCTTCCCTAGGCTGCCGAGACCTGAGGTCAGAGGCTGGTGATGTCCTGGGGAAACATCATCTCTGGGGCAGAAGACTGAGCTTTGAGACTGCTGGCAATGTGCTGTGTGAATCACTAGACCTCTCTGGGCTCTGGTGGCTGCTTCTGCAAAATGAAGAGATTTCACATGTCTTCAGAGGTCCCAGTTCAGGCACTTCTCAGACACAGTGCGATCATCACTGACGAGATCTTCAAAATCCTGTAATGTGGTGTAGTGCTTGAGAGGCGTGGGACTCAGATGTGTCTGAGGTTGACCAGTCACTTCACCCTCCAGACCTCGGTGGGCCTCCGTAAGATGGGGAACTCACAGTTCCTGGGAGGAAGAGTGTTGGGGGGTGGGTACCGACTGGGATGGTGCATGGGAAGTGCTTACCATAGAGTCCGGTGAAGACTGGGTCTCCACCGGCTTGGGCATGCAGCAGCAGGGCTGTGTTTTTGGGTGTTGTGTGTGAGCAGGTGGTGCTGTTTCCCCAGGGAAGCTCTCCCGGTCCCACCTGAGCACCAGGTGATCCTTGGGGGGGGGGCGCGGGGGCCCTTGTTCTCTCCAATCAGCTGACACCTGCAGTCCCCACCCCCTTGCTGCTTCCTCATAAAAGCTCTGCTGGGCCAGCAGCTCCTAGAGAGGAGCTCAGGGCAGTCAGGGAGGGCCTGATGCGCCCAGCTGCTGCGTCGCCATGACAACAGAAGGTGGAGGTAAGCTGTCTCCATGGCTTCAACTTTGCAGCTGTGCAGGGACCCAGGGCCCAGAAGTTCAGTATGTCTGGGCGTCAGGCGCCCAGGCTGCTGAGGCTGTTGGAACGGGCGAAGCTGTTGTTCCCTAGAGGAACAGCTGCGCTAGGGAAAGTGCCGTGTGTGTGCACACACGCGCGCCTGTGCGTGCATGCGTGCCTGGGTATATGTGTGCACGCATGAGCGTGCGTGTTTGGGGTAAGGGAGTATGGTTGCTGAGATTATGGGGAAAGGCAGCAGTTTTGGTCGGTCTTGTTTATTTCCTAGTGGTTCTGAGGCTTGGGACCTCTGTGTCCTTCCCCAAACTAGGGGTCCCCTGGGTCCATGCGGAACCCACCGGTGGGGAGGGCAGACCTCATCTTGGCTGCCACAGAGTGAGTACCTGGGCTTGCGGTAGGGACTGGGGCAGAAGCAGTAGGCCAGGTGCTGGCTCGGCCTGTGGGCTTGACTTTTAGGACTCTGAGAACATGAACAGTTTGCTTTCTTGGTGGCGTACGATGTGGACGTGTGTAGGTGCCTGTGTGTAAATGAGTGCCATCTCACGCAGGTCTGTGCCCACGTGTTCATATGTCTGACAGAACATAGAAACCTTATGTGCGTGTGTGTGTACACATGTGAAGAGTGTCGATCTGGGTGTGTACTTGTGGCATTGCTTCTCTGTGGATTTCTGAGTGTGTGTGTGTGTGCATGTCTGCAAGGGAATGTGTGCCTGTGTGAGTCACAGCAAGTGTGGGTACACATACACGCTTGCAAGTATTGAACAGTCGGATGAATATGAGTTGGATGTGTGTCTGTGACCAGGTAGGTGCATGGCTGCACTATGGCACACATGTGTCTGGTGGGGGAGGCGGTCTGGGTGGCAAAACCTGTTTGAGAGGCTGGGCAAGCCTGTCTGGGTGCCTGCATGAGCAGCCGTGTGTGCTGTCTGCATGTGTCTGGGTGTGTGTGAGTGCCTGCATGCGTGTGCAATGCTGTGAGCATGAACCTATGGTATGTGCTTACAGCCTCCACGTTTTTCAGTGTACCTTTGTGCCCACATATGTATAGCATTGCACACCTCCTTATCTCTGTGTATGTGTGTGTACATGTTTGTAACCCCTGTGAGTACCTCCACATATATGTGTGCTTCTATGGGTGTATCCCTGTGTGTATGGCAGGGTAAACTTCCTGTGCATCTCTGTATACATGCCTGTGTCTCTGAGTGTGCATTCCTGTGTGTAGCACTGCATGCTTGCTTGTGTCTCATTGTGCGTGTTTCTGAGTATGGGTATCTGGTGTGTTGGTTGCTGTGCGCGTTGGAGGGTGACTCCATGTACGTGTGTCTCTGAATGTGTGTTTGTGGGAGTTGCAGTATAACTTTTGTGCATGTCTCCTGCGCATGAGTGTGTTTCTGAGTGTGTATGTGCCTGCAGCATGTTTGCCTGTCAGTGGGGCAGTGCAACCTCTGTGCGTGTCTCGTGTGTGTGTGTGTGTGCATGTGCATTTCCACAGGTGTGTCTGTGTATCCTTAGCAGAGGTGTAAGAGCATGTGGGGTGGATGTAAGCTGAGAGCTTCCCAACAGAAAACCTCTCGGAACCTTTGAAGCCACTCTTCACCCCGCTGCTCGGGTCAGGACCGTGTTTGTGCTGTGCACACGCCAAGTGTTGCCTCGGTGATCTGTGCCAGCTCCGAATAGGTGGTGGGGATGTTGTGTGTGCATTTTTCCAAGTGCCTTTGCTCTGAAGCCCGTGTCCCCCATGGCCCGGCCCCCTGGGCTCCCACAGCACCTCCAGCCTCTCTCACCGAAAGCCTGCACGCAGGACAGTTGCTGAACAAGCTCACAGATGTTAAGAGCACAGGTATAATTTTAGGCAGAAGGTCTGAAAATAGACAGCCCAGGACGCACTGAACATCTCGACAGCAGTGCTTCTAATTAGGAGCAACTTGTTTTCCTTAAATAAACAAATCAAGTGAGGAAAGAAATTGCCCGAGATTAATGGCTCCCCGGAGCAGGTCCAGATGTTGGGAAGATGGGGATGGGGTCCCCAAGGAGTGCCATTGCTAGCACTCAGGGTCTTTTGTAGATTTGAACCACACGCTGATGAGGCAGAGGGGCTGAAGAGGAACCTGGTGAGGGGGGCAGGTCCAGTGGGGCCCCCTTTCCAAGGGTTGGCTGGTGTTTGGTGATTGTCGTGGAGACGCCACTGACCCCAGTTCCTCCCTCCTGCATGCCCCCCTGCGCTTAGCTGGGAGACTTTGCCATTTCCCTCACTCAAGGGGTGGCTGGGTTTATGCCCCTGCTCCTTCATGTTGGGTTTGGCCATGTTGACTGGCTTTGGTCTTTAGTGTGAGGTAGAAGTGATGGTGGGTTCGTTCCCAGCTTAGGTCTCGAGGGCGCCCTGTTTCTGCCATGAGTTGGGGAAGGGCTTCCCCACGGCAGCTGCCACCCACTCAGCATGGCCCCAGAATGAACATATGTCCAACTACCCTGAGCCCAAACCTCAATAAACAGCCTAGCTCAGTCAGGCTCCTGCTGGCCACAAACAGCTTAGTGAGAGAAATGCTCCTTCTTGTACGTTCCTGGGGTTTTATGGGTGTTTGTTATGCACCATTGCTGTGGTTCTAGCTAGCTGATGCAGTTACCAGCATGCGTATGTATCTCCTGCTTGGCCCAGGTGCTTGTTCAGAGCTGCATAATGAACACTTAAACTTCTCAGCCCGGATATCCCCTGTCGCTACCTTGTTTCTGCTCATCCCAACATCAGCAGGGGTGATGATAACGTATACATGTTTTTGGAGGCCTTAGCTGACTCCGTGCCCCATGCCCTCAGAGGTGGGCACCGTCTTCTGTTGTAAGCTGTAAGGCTCAGATAGGTGAGTTGGCCGGTCTCATCACACGCCCCAGAAGAGGCATACCTGGGGTTTGCACCCGGATCACCCGACTTCAGAGACCACATTTTAAATATGTTGTCATACTGCCTCCCCAGTGCCAGCAGGTGTATTTTGACAG